CGAGGCATGATACTAGGCGTAGCGGTCGTAGTAGCAATGCCAAGGCCACGAAATAGTGGTCTTAGTAAGCATACGCATTCATATGCTACTAATTCTGCGATTCGGAATAACAAGACCAATCTCAATAATGATAAGAATGGTGATACTCATGGTATCAATACTATCACTAATGATAACAATCGTACTAAGGATACGGCAAATAGTACTATGACGGATAAACATACTAACATAGCATAAAACAGAAGAAGAGGATGATGCTGGTGATGTTGGTGATGCTGATGCTGATGATGATGCTGATGATGGTGATTGTGATGATGATGATGATGATGATGATGATGATGATGATGATGATGATGATGATGATGATGATGATGATGATGATGATGATGATGATGACTAGGCGGAATAGTGAGCAGAACGATGATAATAAAAACAAGACTGAGACGCGGGGGGGGGGGGGGGGGAACCTGCGAAATTCCGGGGGGAAACCTCGGCATGCGAGCTTAACGGCACCGACACAAACGCGTGAGCCTCAGACGCCGCTTGGCAGTACAGGTCAAAGGCTGGCGGGGCTAGCCAGCCAGGGGCGCGCGCCTGGGGCTTGTGTTGGCAACCGGCGCTCTCGACACCCAGCCAACGCAGCTAGTAGTCCTAACGGCGGCAGCGGGAGCTGGGCCACAAGAGATCTTCCACAGGCGGCCATGAGAGGAGGCACGCCACGAGAGGAGGAGGACAAGGAGCAGGAGGACGAGGACGAGCAGGAGGCGGAACAATCCTCGCCGTCGTCCTCCTCCTGCTCGTCATCCTCAGCTCCTCCTCCTCCTCCTTCCTGCTCCTCGTCCTCCTCGGCTCCTCAGCAGCTGCGCCCTTCCTCCCTCTGGGAGCTGCCGCTGCACCAGTGCGCCCTCCTCCCAAATCTTCGCCTCCTTCTCCCCTCTCCCCTCCTCGGCTGCGACCCTGCCTCGCCCCTCGTGGCACCCCAGCCAAGCATTCGGGACGGCAGTTCCGCTCAGGGCTCGACCGAAACGGTGCTTTCCGCTCTTCGCTCTGTGCTCGTGTTCCCTCGCTCTGTCTGCGCTCCGCCTCCGGCTTCTGCTGTTCCCATCCTACTTAAGAGGACCGCATCCCAGGAATAATTCCGAACACCCGGAAAAGTGGCAAAGAGTGTCGAAACAGTGTCGGGCGAGTGTCTCCCCTGGCCCGGCACGTGAAACCCCCTGAGCTTCGGTACTTGTTTGTGGCGCTCGAACTTCTTTCTGGTGATCAAGGCTAAAGCAGGTTGGAGCAGCATAACTTTCGGTGCAAGTGCAAGACGCATCAAACGAGCACGGTTCACGAACTCGCCCAAACACCCTCCAGGTCGAGCCCTGGCCAGGCACAGAGGACGAACGCTCTGCTCAAACGCGAACGTTTGAAGGTCCGCGCGGGTTTCTTGTGGCACTCCAGCCAAGATTGATTATCCCATCGAATCGTCGGTAGATATACCGAATTCCCGGCCGATTTGCGAAAACTCTACGCGTTCGTCGTAGATCCGATGGGGAAAATCAATTCCGAGGTACATCAATGCTGTATTCGAGCCTCCTCGTTTCCTTCTCCCCTATCCCCTCTTCCCCCCCCTCGTGGCACTCCGAGGACGAAAATTCTGCTTCAACGCAAACGCTTGAAGGTCCGGGCGGAATTCCTGTGGATCCGCACCTAGACGCCTCCTAGATGGGGTCGGAGTAGATGGGGTCTGAGGATGGAGCCGCATCGCCGATACATCGGCCATGCATCGGCGATGCATCGGCGATGCACTAGCGATACACTGGCGATGCACCAGCGACGTCGGCGTGCAGCAAATCGGGCGCCACATCGGGCCGCATCCTCGATGCATCGTCGATTCGGCGCGATCCTCCGACCCCATCTACTCGGACCCCATCGAGGAGGCCTAGGCTGTGGATCCGCACCGGGCCCCCCCCCTGGCGCGCGGAGCGCGCCAAGGGGCGGCGCCAGCCTCGCCGCCGGGGGGGGAACCCAGCGCCCGATCCAAGGAACCCGCGCCGCTCTCCAAACGTTCATGTGCTTACGCCGCCTGCTCTTCATCGAGTCCCCTGCTCCTCTCCCTGATCCTCGACTCCCCTAGTCCTCCCCCCCTCGCGTCGTGAAAAAATCACGACGGGAGGTTTCTCGCCAGATTCGGCCCCGGGGGGCGCTTCCCAGGCCTCGGGACCGTGAACACAACGACTCAGGATGAAAAACCGGTCCCGGGGAAGGGGTCCAGACCTCGGGGGTCGACGTTGTGAAAAAATCACGACGTCGGGGCTGTGGGGCCGGAGTGAGGCATCGGCTCATGGGAAGTGGGAGGGACCTAACGGCCAAACCCAATTACGGCAGGTTCGTGTCGTGACGACCCCGGCGTTGGCTTCTGCCACCGCGGGACCGTTCAACCTTGAACGATCGGCCGTTTCCGAAGCGTCAGATCTTTCAACATCGACCGATTCTGTGTCGCCAGCGGCGCTCAACGTTGAACGACAGCGGCGCGGTCGCCAACGGTCGACACGACGCGAACCTACCGTAGGGAGCACTCACTCGGACTAACTAGCTAGGTCAAGCCCAGGATTCGGCCCGATGAGCTAAGTGGGATTATAAGGGAGGAGTGGAAGAGAGCCTGATGATGCCGGATTGGGCCGGTTTGCGGCCGCGGATATACCAAAGCCGACGCTGAACTTAACCTCCCAATAATTGCATCCTAATTCACGGTAGATGTCTGGCTGGCCTCATCATAAGACGAAGCCAAGACGAGGACAAAGTCGGATGAAGATAAATCGAGAATCTCTGAGAGTCGTCGGTTCTGGAGGATGTCTCGGGCGCCGCGGCCCTCTCAGAGCGTTCCGGAACGCTCTGAGACCGTTCTGGAACGCTCTGAATCGTATACATCCTCATCCTAGCTTCGTCCGAACTCAACAGGCAAGCTTGAGCTGGACTGAATCGCGAATCCGCATCGGCTCGGAAAACCCAGACCCACGACGTCGTGATTTTTGTCGCAGCGTCGGCCCCATGAGGTCTGGACCCCCTCCCCGGGACCGGCTTTTCATCCTGAACCGTTTTTTTCGCGGTCCTGGGACCTAGTGAGGCCCCCGCAGGGACTGAAAACGGGGAAAAACCTCCCGGCGTGATTTCGCCACGACGCGAGGGGGTCTTGGGGAGCTAGAAGAATCGCGAATTCGGATCGGGTCGGAAGCAGGCGGGGTCGCGCCCGAATGGTCGCGGTACCGGGTCGGCAACTCGCGCCGCTCGGGAGGTCGCGGAGATCAGTCAGGAGGGAAATAAACACACAGACGCAATTACTTGTCGATTCCCCCGAAAACGTGGGAAGATATGGGACATGGGGGGGAAGACAAAAACCCAGAAAATAGAAGGATCTTTTTATTTGTTAGCATTTATTTGTGTGCGGGGGAGATGGGGGGAAAATAGGGGGAACACAGGGGGAATCCTTTTATTTGTGTGTATTCATTTGTGTGTCCCAGGGCTCCATTCAATCCAGCTCGGCCCCTGCAGACCAGGGAGGGAGCTCCGGCCCGCGTCGCGCCTGGATCGGGTCGAGAGGAGGGGATCGAGGCCTGGGGAGGTGGAGGAGCAGGAGGAGGAGGAGGGGGGGGAGGAGGAAGAGTTTTTGTTTCCCCCGCGCGGGCGAGCGTCAATATCCCATACAGGTCCGTAATCCGTGCTCAGAGGCAGCAGTGCGGCGGCAGGCCATGCCTGCCAACTTCGATATCCGTGCAGGAGGGGGGGGGCAGCGGCAGCAGAGGAGCAGCGAAGGGGAGAGAAAGGACAGGGTACTGGATGCCCGTGCACAACGGGCGGCCGATCTTCGCCCACCCGTGGGAGGTACCGAGGTACCTCGCGCGCGGGGCGGGGCGGGGCAGCACCGCCCGCTACCGATCCTCCCGAACGAGAGTCCTCGGCAGCGGGGGGGCGCACTCGGTGACGGGGGAGGACAGAGTCCATGCCCCACAAGCCTCGGGCGCTTGCAACCCAGGCCACCGTCACCGCGACCCGCAACCCAGGCACAAAACACGCCTAGACAAAATCGAGAGGCAGGCACCCTACCTCCCAGAGGGGCGCAACGGGCACAGTTGAACAGGTCGTCGACGGGGCGGGCGGCGGGGGCGGCAGGGAGCGGCGGGGCGGGTGCACGCACGCCCCCGCGCGCGCTCCCCCAGCCAGGCGGGGGCCCAACCCCAGCAGCACCAGCACACGCAGGGAGGAGCAAGCAGCAGGAGGACCGAGGGGGCGGGCCAGAAGAAAGGCAGGGGAAAGAGGGGAAGGCAGGGGCGGGAAAAAACGAGGACCCAACCACGCCCACCCCGCAGGGAAGGGGCAGCGGCAGAGGCAGGGAGACGGAAGAAAGCAAGCGACAGGAGAGGCAAGGGAACACAGAGAGGAGCACCATAGCACACGCGCAAGAGATGAGAGGGAGGCGGTCACACTCAGACGACATCACTTCACGTGGCAGCCCGCCCGATGCGCCGTGCCCTGCACCGTCGTGCAACAATCATATCACGCATGGCGGCCAGGATCTGCTCGTTGTTCATCTTGCCCATCCGCTCATGTACTGGACGCCCGTGCACGCCAGGTGGCCGATCTTCGTCCACCCGTGGGGGGAACCGAGGTACACTCAGACGACATCACTTCACGTGTTGGCCCGCCCAATACGCCGTGCCCTGAACTGTCGTGCAACACCAGTATACCGCCGAGCCAGAAGACGCAATCGGGCAACGAAGACCTGGGACAAAGGGACCTGTGTCAGGCGCCGATGATGGGCATGCGTCTTCAGAAATGCATCGAGGAAGGCAGCACAGGCCACGTCGCGGTCGAACCCCCAGGATGGTCCCATCAGACACAGACAGGTAAACCAGGTATCCCGGTGTTGCCACATCTCCCTCCAAGGTGCGGGTAATGATTCCAACCCAGGGAGACGGTGCAGTGCCAGGTCACGGAAACGATCACAGATTTTGTAGTGGTGAAGGTCATCAGGGGCCACACACCCAAAGCAGCACCCACGGTCATTCGCATGAAAACGTGCCGAAGTACAAGCGCCCCTGGACAGTACACGTGCCCCCAGGGCCCCTCCTGACATCAGTCCCCCGAACGGTGAACCACAATGTCATTATCGAATGAGGCCCCAGCGCACACAGGAGGAAAAGACGAGGCCAGCCACCGCAGCTACACCTCGGCGGTGAGTAGGAGAAGATTGTGCGGCAGTCGAGCAGCCTCGCCGGCACGTCCTTTGGCCCGGGAGGGCGTCGACTCCCGACAACGCGGTCGCCACTGTTGGCCGCATAGAGTTGAAAAGAGCGGACGTCAAGCAGAAACCGCGCCGCCTCCAAAACAAAGCACAGAGGGCTTCTTAGGCTGGCTGCTCGCCTCATCGATTGCCCCTCTTGGTTCCTTGACGTCTGATCTCAGCTCTTCGAGCCTCTCCTCGATCCTTGAAACGTTCAGTGCGTCGAGCCTGGTGCTGACTTTCTCGAGCAAGCCTCTAATATCTTGCATGCTCTCGGCGGCCTGCCTTGCCTCAGTGGACGCTCTCCTTGCCTCCCAAGAGGCCCTGCTGGATATACGCCGCAGCCCAGCGGACGAAACGGTAATCATGGAGTACCTCGAGGGCGGCTCCCCCGCGTGCGCGGCGGGCAGGTCCTCCTCGCCCTCCTGGTACATCTCGTCCAGCGACTCCTCTGGAACGACGATCCGGAAACCCTCGTGTTTTTTGCCCTCTCTCTCTACGCAGGCGTGGCTGAATCTCTCGAAGTAGGTCAGGCTGAAGATGCCCCCGCACCTGTCGAAGATTCCGCAGCACACCTTCCTCCAGAAATGGCGCTGGACCAGAAGCCTGCTGCTGAAGTTCATCTGGAAAGTGCCGTTGAGGTGGCAATCGTGCTTGAGGGCATCCTGGTAGACCGCCCCAAGCAAATTAACGTACAAATTCAGAGCTATAACCGGAAAAAAGAGGCCGCAGGCGAGAGAAAAAACCTTCAAGACCCAGTGGAAGGATGCAGCCTGGTCGTTCGCCACGTCAACTATCAGATGATTTGTTCTTTTGACCTTCTGACGCACACCTTCTAAATCTTTGTCGTCAAAATCGACAAGGAAATCCAGGCGGAATGTCCGCACGAAGGCGGCGAGCCACTCCCAAACAGGGCCGTTGTTTTTGTCTGCTGTTGGTTCATTGATTGGTAATGCGTAGTGCGCCATCGTAGTCCCCGCGGCCGTAAGGACGAGGTAGGCTAAAAAAAGTAGCGACTGGCGGCTGGTCATTGCTACCCATGCAGGCAGCAGGTGCTCGATCAAAAACGAAAAGTTCAGGCATGACAGCATGAACTGGAACCACCTCACAAAGATGAGCATGGACAGGTGAATCGGGCGATTACAGATGTAGTCGTCTGTCGTCCAAAGGAAAATCGCAGAGCAGATCGACCACAACTCGACAACATAACAGAACAGAGTTTCTGCTTTGATGAAGAACAGACGTGGCCTCAACAGAGGATCTCCGCACCTCCCAATCACGGGCGCCATGACAGTCACAAGCTCGATGAGCAAACAGACACCTGTGCGAAGTCCTAAGATCGTGATTGCTGTTGGTGCTGTCAAAACCCAGGGATTACTCACTGACAGTGATGACGCCCACTCATTATACCAATAATCGTTTTTCTCGCACGCTTCTCGCGGTGAGCGGCTGACAGGCGAAAGGTACCACACCAGAACGAACTGACATAGCAAGTCGGCAGAGCTATTCCATAAGAAATAAGGGATAGCGAGCGCCCAATTGAAAGCAACCAGAGCTTGTCCAAAAGGGGTTGCGAAGTGCACGTCTTTAATGCCGCTGGTAGCGATACTGCCCTGGCTGACCTTGACGCCATCTAAATCTACCGCTTTCTGCCCAAAGACGCCTTGGACTGTTGTATAGAAACAAACGACCCTGCTCCTGTGCGCATTTCGCGTGATCTGCCACCAGGCCGGACGCGAAGGATGCTCCTCTGCAACCTCTTTCAACTCGTCAAGAAATCGCTGCCACGCGCCATCTGTGATGCCCTGGTCAAGGCGCCCTGAAACGACACTCACTGGGCAAGCAAGATTTGCAAATTGGTACAGCCTGACAGGAATCGCGTCGTGTGGAACGCGCACGCACAACGACTTCAGGAACTTAGTTGACAACCCTGGACTGATCTGGTCCAGTATCGTGGAGATGGACTGCGAGAACCCTTCGGCCTGCCAAATCTGGTGAAGCTTCTCCAAATGGCTCCACCTCTGGCTGTGTACCCGTTTGCCTCGGACTGCTTCGAGCTCTCTTCATCTTTGCTTGAGAGCTTCCCGCACCAATCGTCAAGAAGTGAGTACCAGTTGCCCGAATCTGCATGATGGGCACCATTCATCTCGTTATTCGGCATGTTGTCCCATCGGCCCATTCTTTCAGCGAGGCACATGTGCGACTGAGCTGAGACTCCGAGGTAGAACTGAAAGCCTCGGCATGCAAAAACATCAGATTAACAAACACCGCGACTTTGGACTCGATGTGCATTCCCGTGCCCTTGGTGCTGGAGGGCGTCGATGCGCCAGGGCAGGCGTCGATGCGCAAGGGCGTCGAATCCTGTGAACGATCGCCTGCAGTGATCTTGAGAAGACGCTCACTCTCCATGCTCGCCGTTTCTGGCTCGCGGAGCGGGCAGCGCACGGGCGGCCGCTGTGGCCCTGGCGAGCCTGCGCCAAAATGGCACTTGGGCAAACATGGCTTGAGCCCAAATGGCTACGGATAGGGCCCTCTCGGGCCGTCTTGGGCGCCTCTGGCGCTGTCTTGAAGCCCTCTTGGGCTGTCTTGTGGCCGTCTTCTAAACCAAAGGGGCTGTCTTGGAGCGGACATTGGGACCTCTTGGGCTGTCGTGGAGCGTCGGGAAACTGAAAAGGCGAGAACTCGAAAATCCTTCAAACCCCAGGAAGAAACTGACTTTTGCCTCCTGTCTTGGGGCGTCTTGGAGGCCTCTTGGACAGTCAGGGGCTAATTCTGGGGTAATCTCGGGCCGTCATTCGTCGTCTCCGCGGTCTGGAAGCGTCATTTCTGGCGATCCGGGGTCGTCTTCGGGCGATTTTTCAAAAAGCCCCCGGCGACCTGGCAAGGCCCCCAGGAACCCCGGTCCTCGCATGCGCTGTCGAGGGCCCCGTCCCGGGCCCCCCCGCCTCGTGCCCAGGAATTCTCGAAAGATAAATAGATAGATAGATAGATAGATCGATAGATCTATCGATATATATATATATATATATATATAGATGATACATATTTACATAAATATAATACATATGTATATATATATATAGATATGTATTTATACATATCTGTATTCATATATGTGTATGTATCCGTATATATATACATGTATATATGTAAACATAGAAATATGTATATACTGCATCTGGGCAACAGAAGTATACCGTATGTATGTGCAGATTTGCGTATCTATAAGTGTACAGATCAGCGATTTGTGCAATACAGCGGAACATTGGTGAGTAGATCCGCACATATATATATGTATAAATATCGATAGTTCGGTCGATAAACATCTATATATGGACACAGATATATACAGATATATATATATATATATATATATATATATATATATGCTGCTAATCTGCATCAAGTTATACAGGTGTATATATATATATATGTATATATGTCCTTGCATACATACATGCATAACTATACTTCTGTCTGATCAGAGCACACATGTGTCTATACACATATAGACAGCCATACACCTGCTGAGATATATATATAGGTTGACATACACACATACATGTGCATATAGTGTTTACAGACACTTGGACACACATACAGGTATATGTATATACACATACAGCCATGTACCAATATCTCTACGTCTCGAACTATGCACAGATCTATATATATATATATATATATATATATATATACCTAGCTTTCTGCTGATCTACACAGATATGTGTATAGACACTGCACACATATATACACACACCGTCGTCCCACTGTCAAGACTGCCCTGGTCTGTAAGCTGCAAAACAGGGCCGCGAACAGGAAAAGCCCGAACAAGCACAAAATCGGACACCTTCGAGATTCGGCAATCCTGGAGCCGTGCTCATGTGTATTCTGCGGTGCTCCTGTGTATTCTGCCACTGCCATGGTCCTGATATGCCGTGCTTCTGTGTGTTCTGCTGTGCTCCTGTCTGTTCTGCCGTGCTCCTGTGTGTTCTGCAGTGCTGCTGCTTGTTGTGCCGCGCTCCTATGTGTGTTGTGTGATCTGCCGCGCTCCTGTGTGTTCTGCTGTTCTCCTGTGTGTTCTGCCGTGCTTCTGTGTACTCTGTGTTCGGCCGTGCTCCTGGAGGCTGCACCGGGCGCCGCGGCCGCCCCGGAGCGCTCCAAGAAGGCTCCGAGACCGCTCCCAGAACGCTCCCAGAGCGTACCGCAACGCTCTGGAGCGCCATGTCCTGGTCCTGCTGGGGGTCCCACTGTCAAGACTGCCATGGACTGTAAACTGACTGTAAAACAAGGCCGCGAACAGGAAAAACTCGAACCAACACAAAATCGGACAGGACACCTTTGAGATTCGGCTATCCTGGAGCTTGCACACGGCGCCATGGCCGTCCCAGAGCGCCCCAAGAAGGCCCCGAGAGCGCTCCGGGAACGCTCCGAGAGCGTACCACAACGTTATGTCGTGCCTGTCCCCCTACAGGGGGATTCTGAACGAAAAATTACAAAAAATGTCAAGAATATTCAAAAGATGCCCAAACATACTCAAAACATTGTCCCCAAACTAGTTTTTTTGTATTTTTTGAATATTCCCCCTGTGCTGTAGAGGGACGGGCCCGACTTAACCACAACGCTCTGGAGCGCCATGTCCTGGTCCTGCTGGGGGTACCAGAACCGTGCGGTGGCAGACCGTGCGGTGGCCTCAAAATCCCGCAGGACCTCACCGCACGGCCCGTCACCACACGGTCTTGGGACCTTGGATGCCCCAGCCGTCCGAGACATCCTCGGAGAACGACCCAAGTCCCAAAACCGTGCGGTGACCCCAAAACCCCTGCCGACTCACAACACGGTGTGGTCTGGTCCCAGACATCGGGCTGCTCCAAATTGTTCGGCCCCATCGGTCGGGACCCTTTCCCCATGGCCGGTTTTTCGTCCTGCATCGTTGTTTGGACGCTCCCGAGGCCCGGCGAGGTTATGTTGCATCCGGGACCTTGTCTGTCTCGTCGCGGCCCCATCCGCGTCGAATCCGTGTCGAATCCATGTCGGGCTCGTCGGATCCGTGTCGAATCCGTGTGGGGTCCGCGTCGAATCCACGCCAAATCCGCATCGCGTCCGCATCGGGCACAAGAAAAGACACCACTTTTGGGGACAGGCGAGGCCCCCCGAAGATGCAACGCAAGCGAGGGCCCCCCGAGGCCGAAGACGGCCCAAAGCCGCCCGCTCCAATTCTTGCGGGAGCGTCGGATCTCTGGGGCCACGACACCGCTCAGGGGCTCCCGGGCCTGGCCCCGCCTATGTCCCGGTTGAGGCCAGCTGCTGGCCACCCCCGGAGGAGGCTGCCCGCGCGTGCCCCGCGGCCCTGGCAGACGCCGCCGCAGCTGCGGGAAGGCATCTCGTCGTGGCCACAGCACGAAGTCGGGCGTGTCCCCCTACAGAAAGATTTTGGGCGAAAAACGAAGAATATCTTTAAACAACACCCCAAATGAGGCGCGGGTGCGACGCGGTAGGAAAGAAGACCAGAACTCCACGATACATGTGGGGAAATAATCAGAAAATGCTAACAAACAGGCAAAACATCGTCCCCAGACTGTTTTTTTTGACTTCGTTTGGAACATCCCCCCTGTAGAGGGGCAGGCCCGACTTCACCACAGCACCCCAGACGCGACCGCGCCGTCCGCAAAACTCCGCACGGGAGGTGTGCTCGCTGTGTTCGGCCCACGGGCGCCCCCGCCCGGCCAAGGGGGCCTGTCAAGAGACGAGTCGGAGTGAGAACCGGGGGCGTACCTCGAGGAATCAGTGTAAGATAGTCCGAACGTGCTCAACAATCGTCAACAATAATCGAGGATCGTCCCCATACTATTCATCGACAGTTCTTGAATACTCCTCCTGTAGAGGGACAGGCCCGACTTGAGGATAATCGGGGGCGGCCAAGGGGGGGCGTCCAAGAGGGGGGGTGCAAATCATGACCGGCGGCATGTGCGCGGCCTAGGGGAAGGGCCAAAGACGTAATGAGATAAGAAGAGGCGCCATGAAATCCGGGGAGGTATCATGGCCCCCGCCATGATATCCCCCCCCCTAGTCACCGCCCCCCTCTATGCCGCCCCAAGAGAAACCGGTCCATGGGGAAAGGGTCGGGACTTCCGGGGACGCCGTCAAGAAAAAATCAGGACGTCGCATGTCTGGGACTCCATATGCCTCCCCTGTGTCGGCAGCGTCCTCAGCTCACATGTGCAACGTCTACAGCAGCATGACGAGACATATCATCTCAACTTAGTCGGGCTTGTGCACTTTACCAGCCAATTCATCACCACCGTTACGCCAGGTGCCGAAGATGAAGAATTGCGACAGGATGATCGCGCAGAGGCTGAAATTGATAAGGCTGAGGCAACGGATGTGCATATCTTCGACCTCGACAAAAGAAGAAAACACTCGTGTGAAGGTACCCGAAGTGTTTGTCGCCGCAACGAATAAGGACAACTTTCCAGTAGAGCGCGCTCGCCAATTCATCCAGATCTGCGGACCGGCAATGAAAAATCCAGCAATCCCATTGGCGGCAAAGAGAGCCGTCAACAAAGAAAAAGGTAGCACCTGCAGTGCGAATAAGATGGTGCCAATGATTATACCCGCAATGCCCGCAAGGGCTCCTGTCGAGACACTGTTTGTTGGGCTTGCGACACGAGACGCTACAATTATCAAAACCAACATCTGCGTGAAGATGATAGGGATCTCCCCATACGTCGTGATCGGTGTGCCGAGCACCAGGTTGTACGCGAACGTGACGCCAAGAGTATAAGCTTCAGTCCACAAACCAAGAAACGAAATGCCTTCAGCCGACCTGCTCTCCCAGATCAGCTTGATCTGGGGGCACCGGCCGACTAGAGAGCCGCCAACGATACCAAGCGAAGCGATCTTCGAGATCAACACCTCCAGAGAGAACCCCGTCATGGACTCCACAAATTCCATGAGGCACAGCTCCGTCGCACCGACTTGGCCCCAACAGGACAGAAACGAGAGAAATCTTCGAAGATCGGCCCCTGAGCCGGCACGCTTTAGGCAGAAGTGTTAAACAACGGCGAGGTGAGGGGCGGGTGCCAGAAAGGAGGATGAAGACGAAGGGGGGGAGGGGGAGGAGGAGGAGGAGGAGGAGGAGGAGGAGGAGGAGGAGGAGGAGGAGGAGGAGGAGGACATGCGAGGCAGGCAGGATCGGCGTATGGAAGCGGAGCGAGAGGGAGAGGGCGACGGGCAGGGGGGGGGCATGGCAGGGGAGGGAGGAGGTGCTAGCAGTGGGCAGAGAGTCGGATGGCAGGAGTCGGGGGACAGAGCGAGAGGAGGAGGAGGAGGAGGAGGAGGAGAGGAGGAGGAGGATGAGGAGGAGGAGAGGAGGAGGAGGAGGAGGAGGAGAAGAGGAAAAGGAGGAGGAGGAGGAGGGGGAGGGGGAGGAGGAGGAGGAGGAGGAGGAGGAGGAGGAGGAGGAGGAGGAGGAGGAGGAGGAGGAGGAGGAGGAGGAGAAGGAGGAGGAGGAGGAGGGGAGGAGGAGGGGAGGAGGAGGAGGAGGAGGAGGAGGAGGAGGAGGAGGAGGAGGAGGAAGAGGAGGAGGAAGCGGCCGGGCCGGGAGGGGCGCCCCCAGCTCGGCATTTCCCCTTCCCCATTCTGCGCCCTCCCTCCCTCTGGCTCACTCCCTCCTCCGAGGAGCGGGAGCCACGTGCCAGGCACACAGGGTGAGGGCGTTGCAGTCGTCGTTTGGTGCCATCTATTGCGGTTTTTGTGCGGTGTAGTGCAGGTCCAGGTCAAAATGCACGTACCAATTCTTTATCCTGCTCCTACCCTGCCCCTCATCCGCCTCCTCCTCCTCCTCCTCCTTCTCCTCCTCTTCCTTTCTCTTGATGTGTCCAGTCTGCTTTCTGGCGCCTTCTCCTACTCCAAAGGCGACGGGAGGCGACGGCCGTCTTCTATCCCCGAGACGATGGTCGGATCTGTAGCTGACGACATGTCGTCTCAGCTCTTCACAAATCCATAGTAAACAACACTAAACCGCACTAAAACGCACTACACTGCACCAAACCGCACTATGCGGCACTACACCGCGCTAAAAAAGCACTGCACCGCACTGGTGTCAGCCTCCCTGAACCGCACGACACGGCAACACACAGAGGCTGGGGTTCGCCAGGGTGCCAAGAAACGGCTATCATGATTTGCCTCCTGAAAAAAAGCGACCCACACTGCGCTTGAATCATCAGCTGGGGAGGAGGGGGGGGGGTCGTAGCGAGAGGGTGGCACCGACGCGACGGGGCGGCAGCGGGGGGGCGGGCAGGAGGGGGGCACGGGGCAGGGAGGGCGCGGGGCAGGGAGGGGAAGGGTGGGAGGGCTGGAGGGGGGGGGGGATGGGGGAGGCAGGAGGGGAGGGGGGGAGGCAGGAGGGAGGGACAGGGGGGGCGGCAGGGAGGGGGAGGGGGAGGGAGAGGGGGAGGGGACACGTTACGTGCGCTCGCGTCATATTTGACGTCATACCCCTCCCTCCCATCCCTTATCATGGCGCAGGTCTCCCCTTTATTCACACAGTCGGATGTCGTAGCATGGCATAGCACTACACTGCATACAATGAAATCCGCCGGCCACCCTGTGGGGCCACCAGGCTGTAGGGCGAAGGTTCGCAGTTCCTTGTTGACTTCTTAATGCTTACTGTTCCTTGTTGATGGACCGCGCGAGGGGGGGAGGCCCAAAACGGGAATTTTTACTACGCCCTGAGCGTGTGCTCTGAATTGCTGGGGTGAGTAAAAATTGACACTCCTCACGCAGATCGGCGGGGTCAGGGTCCAAAAACACATGGGATTTGCCACATTTCTAAAATCCGGTGGCACCCCTTATACAAATTGGCGGGGTCAGGGTCCAAAAACACATGGGATTTGCCACATTTCTGAAATTTGCTGGCACCCCTCATGCAGATCGGCAGGGTCAGGGTCCAAAAACACATGGGATTTGCGACATTTCCCTTACGCAGATCGGCAGGGTCAGGGTCCAAAAACACAAGGGATTTGCCACATTTCTAAAATACGCTGGCACCCCTCACGTAGATCCGTTGGGTCAGGGTCCAAAAACACAAGGGATTTGCCACATTTCTGAAATTCGGTGGCACCCGTGATGCAGATCCGTAGGGTCAGGGTCGAAAAACAAACAGCTCCCGATACTGCTTCACGGCGACGCCCAGACCTCATGATTTAGCTTTTGCATATCCCATTATCCGAGACAGGGGGCCGGCGGCATGGTGCGAAGCCCTTACGGATCGAAGGTCAACACGTAACATGGCATGGCTTCTGCGGCCCAACAAAAAATCCACGGATCGACATCGAATGTGTAATCACTTCCGATGGTTTCTTCGGGGGGACATTTTCTAGATTTTCGGGCCTATTTGGAAGGACCGAAAACCATGCGGGGGCATTGCGCTCGAAATAATGACGCCAATGCTGCAGCGGGAGCACGGTTCGGAACGAGCGGAAGCGTAGAAATCAGGCCAGCGCTGCAGCTGGAGTACGATTCGGAACGAGCGGTAGCCCGAAAATGAAGCCAGCGCGTCAATGAGACCAGCATTCCGAACAAAAACTCAACGCGGAAGCGCTGACATGAGGACGCGTTGCCTGACATAGCATGGCGTGGCGACGCCCCAAAGTGGTCTTCTGCGGCCCAAACAATCAACGAATCGACACCGAATGCGTAATCACTTCCGATTGTTTCTTCGGGAAGCCATTAACTAGATTTTTGGGCCTGGTCGGAAGGACAGCAAACCATGCCGGGGCATTGCGCTCGAAATAATGACGCCAACGCTGCAGCGGGAGCACGATTCGGAACGAGCGGAGGCACGGAAATGAGGCCACCGCTGCAGCTGGAGCACGAGTCGGAACGAGCGGTAGCCCGAAAATGAGGCCAGCGCGTCAGCGAGATCAGCATTTTGAAAAAAAACTCAATAATGACGCCAGCGCTGCAGCGGGAACACGATTCGGAACGAGTGGAAATGAGGCCAACGCTGCAGCGACAGCACGATTCGGAACGAGCGGTAGCCCGAAAATGAGGCCAGCGCGTCAGAGAGAGAGAGAGAGAGAGAGAGAGCAGCATCTTGAAAACAAACTCAGCGCGGAAGCGCGGAAATGAGGACGCGTAGCCTGGCATAGCATGGCGTGGCGACGGCCCGAAGTGGATGGGGGTGGGGGGGGGGCTTCTGCGGCCCAAAAAATCAACGAATCGACACCGAATGTATTTTCACTTCCGATGGTCTCCTCGGGAGGCCATTTTCTATAAGTTGGATCCTATTTGGAAGGACCGACAAAAGTGCCGTGGGCATTGCGCTCAAAAAAATGACGCCAACGCTGCAGCGGGAGCGCGATTCGGAACGAGCGGGAGCGCGGAAATGCGGCCAACGCCGCAGCGGGAGCACGATTCGGAACGAGCGGTAGCCCGATAATGAATCGGGGATGGACAGACCCCCCTTTAGCAAAAGGTGGTTTAGTGAAAACGACCTGAGGCCCAAACCTGGCGGGCGCAAGTCTGGAAAATAACGGCCACGGCGCCCTCTCGAGAACCGAAAACGGACAATTCACTAATCGACGTGTCACTGTTGGGGGTTCTGTCCACCCCCGAATGAAGCCAGCGCGTCAGCGAGACCAACATTTTGAACAAAAAGACTCGGGGTGCGCGTGGGATCGGGCCGCAGGGGCGCGGAGTCGAGGCAGGAGCGGACCGGCAGCGCCGAGATGCCCCGCATGCGCCATGCCAGCATCCGACCGGAGCGGACTGTGTAGGAGGGGGGAGGGGGCAGGATGGGGGATGGGGGAATGGCGAGGATAGAGAGATAGAGAGAGGGGGGAGGGAGGGGGGAGGGAGGGAGGGGGGGAGGGGGGAGGGAGGGAGGGGGGGAGAGGGGAGGGAGGAGGGGGGAGGGGGGGGGAAAGGCGAGGATAGAAGAAGAGACACAGCGGCATAAACATAAAAAACTGTGGGCGCTCCGCGCGGATCTCTTGGATTCGCGCTGGGCCCCCCCTCCCCGGCGTGCGGAGCGCGCCAGGGGCGGTGCCCAGGCACCACCGGGGGGGCCCAGCGCGGACCCAAGAGATCCGCGCGGAGCGCCCACAGTTTTTATGTGTATGCCGCTGTGTCTATTCTTCTATCCGCTCCTTTGGGGGCTCCCCCCTCCTCCCTCCCCCTCCCCCCCTCCCCCTCCCTCTCCTCCACAATTACTCAATATGAATACGACTCTCCCTCTTCCCCTGATGACGTGCTGGGAGTGTTCGCCCCCCCCCCCCCCCCCCCCCCCGCGTCCTGTTTTTTTACACACAGGTTTCCCGGAGTTGGGTTTTCGCTTGCATTTTTTTTTTCAAAATGCTGCTCTCGCTGGGGCGCCGGCCTCATTTTCGGGCCCCGCTCGTTCCGAATCGTGCTCCCGCTGCAGCGCTGGCCTCATTTCCGTGCTTCCGCTCGTTCCGAATCGTGCTCCCGCTGCAGCGCTGGCCTCATTTCCGCGCTTCCGCTCGTTTCGACTCGTGCTCCCGCTGCAGCGCTGGCGTCATTTCCCGTGCCATGCCACGGCGTGCAATGCAATGCTAGGTTGATGCTACGCTTTGCGGTGCTCTTCTACGCCATGCCATGCCGTGCTCTACAATGCATCGCGTACCCTTTCGGGATCATTGCCCTGCTCGACATCCGACTGTGCGAGTAGAGAGGGGATCTGCGCCATGGTAAGGGATGGGAGGGAGGGGTAGGATGTCAGATATGACGCGAGCGCACCTAGCTTGCCCCTCCCCCCTCCCTCCCTCCCCCTTCCCTCCCCCCTCCCTCTATCCTCGCCTTTCCCCCATCCCCCATCCTGCCCCCTCCCCCCTCCTGCACAATCCACTCCGGTCGGATGCTGGCATGGCGCATGTGGGGCATCTCGGCGCGGCCGGTCCGCTCCTGCCTCGACTCTGCGCGCCGGGGGG